TAAAGCCAGAAACAAGAATCGAACGAAAAAAGAAGAAGAAAACAGGAAACAAGAAGAAAAAAGTAACAAAGAAAGAGAAAAACAATAAAACTGTGAAGGAATGATAACTCAGGAATTGAAGAAGAAAAGAAAAGAGAGAGAAAGAAAGAAAGATAGAGAGAGAGGGGGGTGGAGTGAGTGAAAGAGAGAGAGAGAGGATAGAAATAATGCAGGAAAAAGGCTTAAATAAACATTGGAGAAAAACAGGTTTTCAAGTAGAAGACGAATAAGAAGAGAGGAAAAAGGAAGTAAAAGAGAATGAAGAAAAAAAGAAAGCTAAAAAGGTGAAATAGGGGAATCAAGAAATAAACAAGGAAAAAAAAAAAAGAAATAAAAACAAAAATCAAAAAGAAAAGGAAAGGAGAAGGGGTAAAAGTTTATAGAAATAGAAGTTTATGAAGAAAAGAAAGAAAGCTAAAGAAAACCCCGAAAAAATATTGAAAAGAAAGAAAACGTGAAGAATGAATCAAGGAAATAAACTAAAAGAAAAGAAAAAAAATCGAAAAGAAATAAAAACAAAAAAATAAAAGAAAGGGGAAGGAGAAGGGAAATGCGTAAAAGTTTATAAAAGAAAGCTGAAATAGAAGAAGAAGAAGAAGAAGAAGAAGAGGATAAAGAAGAAGAAGAAAAAGAAGAAGTGATTTATTTTGATTTCTACCTAAAACATGAAGTTTATAAAAGAAAGCTGAAATAGAAGAAGAAGAAGAGGAAGAAGAAGAAGAAGAAAAAGAAGAAGAAGAAGAAGAAAGAAGAAGTGATTTATTTTGATTTCCACGTAAAAACAGATGAAGTTTATAAAAGGAAGCTGAAATAGAAGAAGAAGAAGAAGAAGAAGAAGTAGAAGAGGAAGAAGAAGAAGGAGAGGATAAAGAAGAAGAAGAAGAAGAAGAAGAAGAAGAAGAAGAAAAAGAAGAAGTGATTTATTTTGATTTCTACCTAAAACATGAAGTTTATAAAAGAAAGCTGAAATAGAAGAAGAAGAGGAAGAAGAAGAAGAAGAAAAGAAGAAGAAGAAGAAGAAGAAGAAGGAGAGGATAAAGAAGAAGAAGAAGAAGAAGAAGAAGAAGAACAACAACAACAACAACAAGAACAAGAACAAGAAAAAGAAGAAGTGATTTATTTTGATTTCCACGTAAAACAGATGAAGTTTATAAAAGGAAGCTGAAATCGAAGAAGAAGAAGAAGAAGAAGAGGAGGAGGATAAAGAAGAAGAAGAGGATAAAGAAGAAGAAGAAGAAGAAGAAGAAGAAGAAGAAGAAGAAGAAGAAGAAAAATGATTGATTTGACTTCTACGTAAAAACAGATGAAGTTTTTAAAAAAGCTGAAATAGAAGAAGAAGAAGAAGAAGAAGAAGAAGAGGAGGATAAAAAAGAAGAAGAAGAAGAAGAAAAGAAGTAGTGATTTATTTTGATTTCTACGTAAAAATAGATGAAGTTTATAAAAGAAAGCTGAAATAGAAGAAGAAGAAGAAGAAGAAGAAGAAGAAGAAGAAGAAGAAGAAGAAGAAGTGATTGATTTGATTTCTACGGCTTTATCAAAACTTTGCAGGTTATATATAAAAAATATAAAATATTTTTAGATTCTAAGAATCTTTTTGAGGGCATAATAATCATTTAATAAGTGTCCTGACAAAGGAAGGTAAGTGAGACACTGAGATGAAAGACATACTGAGATGGCCAAAGACGCATTCCAAATGATAGAATATTACGACATAGGAGGATTTCGTTGGTAGCAAAGAAAAGAGTGTTGAACTGCTACGTGATATCTGTCCTCCTTTACGGCAGCGAATATTTGATGGTCTCCTCAAAGATGAAGCAGAGGCAACGGAGCTATGGTTCTACAGAAGGATGCTAAGGATATCATGAACCGGGCGTATGAGCAACGATTAGGTTTTGGAGAGGATGCAAACAAGGAAGAATGCTTATACTTAACATCAGGAAGAGGCAGCTGATATTTCTGGGACATGTAGTGAGAAATGAGGGCTTGGAGAATCCGATACTCATATGGCGAATAGGTGGAAAGAGAGACAATGGAAATTAACGCGTGACATACCTAGCGGTATTAAGCAAGTGGATAACGGATCAGGATTTGGGAGAAATAGCCAAGGGACAAAACTTATTAAAAGCTACAAGGGATAAAGGGAGGTGGAGAGCCATGAACGCCTACGTACTGAATGGACACGGCATATAAATAAAACAAGATACGAGTCTTATTAATTAGCACATAGGTGGGGAATTCATAGCTTTGTTAAGTGTACTTGCACGGAATTTAATATAATGAAGACAATGGGAATTAGTAATCGGATCAGCGATTAACAAGTTTGATCCATTATCCACTACACATCCGTGTATACAGCACCTGGTATTCCAAAGAGGTCATCCATCTAGGTACTGACCAGTCTCAATGTTGCTTATCTTAGGCGATCGTACGAGAATCGGTGTTTCAAAGTGATGCGGCTGCAAGCCTCAACTGATTAAGTGAGCAAAAAATAAAAAATAAAAAGTATTCTTCCTTAGCTGGTGACATTTCCCAAGTTTAATTTAAACATGAACATGAGATTTATAGAGAGGAAGATTGAATAACGCCAATCTTAATTATAAGGAACCCTTGGTGGGGCCAAGAGGTGAGTCTTCAAGATACTGGCTATTTTTTTTTTATTATTTGGACTTAAACACAATTTAGAAAAAGAAAGACGTTTCGACTGTTGAATAGTGTGAGGATCAGAAACAAAAAAAAAATGAAGGAATTTAGAGAATCGAGAAAGAAAGAAAGAAAGAAAGAAAGAAAGAATGTAGCAGAAGAAAATAGACAAGAAAGGGAAGAAACAAAAAAGAATAAGAAAAAATAATTCCAAAATGAAACAAGAAAAACTAGGAAGCAGACAACCACACAAAAAAAAAAAGAGTTAAAATGTCGATCATGTCATAGGTTTGATTGAATACGAAAGTTTCTTGACTTTCCTTTGTCTCATTAAACCAGACGCATACCATCGGACACTATTTCATGCCCGTCTGTCGTTAAACGAAAATGAAATCCGTTAAGTGCCTAATCGCCCTCGAGTAAATGAACACATCAGCAAAACCTTAATTACAGAATCATACAATCCTTTGCAGATTTAGTGTCGTCTAATTATGCCTAATTTTTTTTAGGAGCACTTAAATCTGGTCTTAATGAAGATTCTAAATTGATTGTTCTTCTTAATACGGGATATCTGTGCAGCTTTTAAATTGCATATTACTGTTAAGGCTTTTCTTCATTCATTTTGAGAAGTCTCTTATCAACAGCCGCCACTTGCGTCATTAAACATTTTAAGCAAAGTGACAACATAAGACATGCAAATGATACCGTGTTGATAGCAGACACGGAAAGGAAACTACATAAGCTCACACAGAAGTTTATAAAAGAAAGCTGAAGAAGAAGAAGAAGAAGAAGAAGAAGAAGAAGAAGAAGAAGAAGAGGAGGAGGAGGAGGAGGATATATTTGGAAGATATGTATTAAAAACTGTCAGCTGCTCGCGTTGGAGTAATTGATAGCGGCTCGGATTGAGGAATCGGAGAGACGTGTTCGAATTCCACTCGTATCCATAATGTTTACTTACGTGCTAATAATACCCTTTGGAAATCCTCTTCTTCTTCCCCAGCTATGGGTAAATAGCAAGACAGACCGGATGGCAACTGGTATACTGCAGAAAAAAATGACAACCAACTGCGGGAAAAAATCTGCCTCTGTCAGTCATGTATCGAAAGATACATGATCGCTTAAGTGTGTATCACGCATGGCACATAACTGACTGAGAGTCGCGTAATTTATATATTATTATTTATGTCGTAGTGTAATGATAGTGGAGCAGTCCATTTATTTACGGGGGTGGTAATAAAATTATATTTTTTTACAGTGTTGTTAGCCCTGTACAAGGTCTTGAGGTAAAGTATAACAGAGTAAGAGGCACAGTTTATGCAGATAGTTAGAAAAGATAGCAGTTATCCCTTGACTTGAACAGGTTAAGATTGTAGAGATCGAGGTATCAACATCTTTGCTGGCGGTTCCACAAGGAAGTTGTTCGGAGGAAGAAGCTACTTGAGTAGAACTTATATCTCGTCAAGAGAATACGCAGGGAATTGGGGTAGTTTAAGATAATATGCGTGGCATAACGGGTCTTAGCCAAGAAGGTTAGGACTGTCGGAGCTAAGGAATTTTGGTCATCCATAGAAAAAAGCGATAAAATGTTCACTGTGTCTGAAGAAAACCTAAGGTCGCAGTTGAAACATTACTAGTTTGGTTTGTGTTCGATTCACACATAAATAATACCGTCATTGTTGATGGGTGCTATGTGTATTTAAACTCACACCTGATCGAATAAAAATTCCCGTCAAAGATTGTTATCGAGTTTGTTCCCAATAAGTAGATCTATATTGTGACCTTGTGCCACTCTAATTTGATATGAAATTGGCTAGAAGATGAATCCGAATAAAAAAAAAACAAAAAAAAAAAAGCAACTGAGGTCTCTTTTGAGGCGTTCTTCGGAGCACACCGGAAGAAAGGGAAGTTGTTTCGACAAAACACTGGGAGGATAGGGGCAGGTTCGATTCCTGCGGTAGGTCACAATTTCTTTCTTGATTTTTTTTTTCGAATACGCAGGCCGAAATACATACTGTTTACAGATCGCGACATTTATCAGGGAGATGAAATTTAAATTTTTCTTATTGCATTATTACAAAATTTAACACATCAGCACATAGCTATTAATATCAACAACTGAGCACAAATAGTTATTACTTTAAAAAAAAATAGTAATTAATGTATAATATTATCCATAAGTACATGTACAAGAATGTCGTTTTTGATAAAAATTAAAAAAAAAACATAAATACGTAAAAAATGCGTATATTGTCGAAAATTCATTTTTCACAATATAGCTATTTGTTCTGTTATAATGCTTATTACCTAAACAATAATAATATTGAATATTTTATAAACATTAAAGTGATATGTCCCGGAAAGGGCTATATTTGAACGAAGTAGCTAAGTGGTTTTGGCTACGATAACCAAGTAGAATATGGTAGCAGTAATCGACTGGTATGCGTCGTAGTCGCAGGTAAGACGTGTAGATCAATGGCGTAGTCCAATGGGCGTCGTTATAGACTTAGCTCTCAAACTAAGGCTCTTGACTCTCCTACACGTCCGTCGGTATTTATGACGGACACCAGCCAATCATATTCCAGTGAGGAGGAACACAGGTGTACGCATATTTCATTATATCATAAGGTATATTTAATCACATCCCCCGAATACGTGTCGCGATCTAGTAAAACAAAAATTAGGCGTCTATTTTAAACACGAATATCGACTATCATAATGGATGTCTAAATATCTGGGAAGCGTTTTTGATAGAGGACAGTAAGTGCGACACTGAGATCCGTAGACGTATTGGGATGGCCAAGGATGCATTCCAAAATCGAGACAGGAGAAGTTCTTTGGCAATAAAGGAAAGAATACTGAGCTGTTACGTGACATCTGTCCTTTTTTACGGCAGCGAATGTTGGACGATTTCCTCAATGATGAAGAAGAGTCTCGAGGCGGCGTAGCTGTGGTTCTACAGAAGGATGATAAGGATATCATGGCCCGAACATGTGCGCAACGACGACGTTTTAGAGATGATGCAAATCAGGAGGATGCTTATACTTAACACCAGGAAGAGACAGCTGAAGTTTCTGGGACACATAATGAAGATGGAGGGCCTGGAGAATATGATACTCACGGGTCGAATAGAGGGAAAGAGAGACAAAGGAAAACAACGCATGACATACCTAGCGGGCTTAAGCAAGTGGATGACAGAATATGATCTGGGAAAGGTGTCTGAGGAAAGGAACTTGTTGCGAGCTCCAAGGGATAGAGGGAGGTGAAGAGCCATGATTGATTAAGTCCTGAAGACACACATGGACATGAAAAGAAAGAAAGACTATAATAAAATTAAAGAAATAAAAAGAGACTTGCTGTACCCTGATGCTCTTCTTAGGCGAGTTGCATAGCGCACCATGTCAAACTATGGTTCCATCTTCAAAGGATGGGTAAACGGGTTCGATTTCTGCCGAGGGTGCATAATTTCTTTATTGAGATTTAATACGTAGAACGGCGTTTCGGTGTTCTAGGGAGATATTCTATGAGTTTATACTATGATTTGTTTTCATTTTTAATCAGTTTACTGATTTCTTTGTTGATGTTTTGCGTCTCAGTAATTATTTTTGTTCGTTTATTTTTTTCGTATGTCTCGTTATCGTTGAGTAGGGAGTTAATTTTTTCTACGTATGAATTCTTGTTTATGATTACAATACACACCCCCCTAACACAACCACAATCGTCCTGGCTTTTACAATATGCTACCATTCTTGGGAGATTTTCTGTTGTCACAATGGCAGGGACAAAGGTGACGGAGAGAAAAAGAATAAGAATTCAGATGAATTTATATTGAAAAAAAAATATTCTTTCAAAAATTTTGAAACTACCAGCATCTCTCGTTTCGTGCGCATCGGTAGACGTGGCAATATCAACAATGCCAAGTCCTTTGAAACCATAACGGATGAAGCGCGACACAAAAAACATTTTTCTAATTTGTCATACTATATATATATATATATATATATATATTTATTTATTAAAGACATTTTTATGTTTAACGTTCTTTTTTATATATACAAGTATTTAAGTAAATGCTCTGTTTTATAATAAACAGTATTAAATAACATTTACCGGCCTGAATGTCCGAGAAATTTTCATAGAAAATATTCGTCCTTTGACAGGATTCGAACCTACATCCTATACGGAACCGTCATTTACGCTGATTTACCTATCGACAAAGGGAGCTTTCGGTACCAATTTACCAAATTGAACATAAAAGTCAAAAATCCTGGACTTGTCCATTTCTTAATACGCTATAGGAACATTGTTTTAGACGCTACAGGCTGTTTCATGCTAGACACAATCGTCAGGTCACGAGTGTTGTTGTTTTTTTTTGTCGGCTATTTATATATACGGGTCAGTGGTGCATTGTGGGTAGTCAATTTTGGCTGTTATTTTGCCGGAAGTCGTTTATTTGTTTATTTATTTATTTGGGCTAAATTATTTTGATTATTTTTGTCCAATTTTTTACCTTTGGCTTGTGGTCAATTTACGCTGTGAACATTGATTCTCTTTCGATCGCCGAAATTAATGGTATATATATATATATATATATATATATATATATATATATATATATATATATATATATATATATATATATATATATATATATATATATATATATATATATATATATATATATATACGCTGTACTGAGATAGTGGATGGGGTTTAGAACACCAGGTAACGTAAGTGATCTCATGAATATATTTGGGCTTTAAATAACCAACAAACAAAACAAAATAAAAAGAACCAATCAATATTTATCATTTTTTTTAAATG